TATAACGTGCAACCCGACCGTTTGTTGGTTTTTTCTGTAACAGACTAACTCGGCTACCCCCTGAAGCTACTTTGCTGCTGGATGTTTTCAGTCATGGGTGGCAGGTGAAGGCCCAGCTGCGGAAGGCAAGTCCCCTCCGGCCCCACCCCTTCTTCCCAAGGCCCTGCCTCTGGAGCCAAGCCCCACCCACCTCCAGCTCAATCCTTCCTGGACACCTGGAGGGCCGGGGCTACCGTGTTGCAGCCGTAAACTCAACCCCAGCCTTCCCTAGCAGCCAGGTAGCAGGGCTGCTCTGCTGCGGCCCCTGCCTTCCCATGCAGCTGAGGCGTGTAAGCAATTTTAGGAAGGCTGTGCCTTCCCTTGCCTGTATTACCGGCCGCTCATGTTTCCAGTGCAGACCAGTCTGTTTTGGTCCACCGATCGCCTCCAAAACCAGAGAGCATTCTCTGCTTCCCTGAATCTCCTCTCGACTGGTTGAAATCACCCAAGATCAGGTCGTGCCGCGAGCTGTCAAGTACGTCGGGCTCTGTGCTTCCGCCCCACGACTGAACAGAACTCCGCGCACCGGGGCAGTGTGGCCTAGTGGGCGGGGCAGCACCAGATTGGAATTCGCTAGACCTAGATTCGTGTCTTCGTTGGGCCGTCTGGGTGACTTTTAGCAACTCATTTCCTCTCCCTGCCTCGGTCGGGTCTGGATAGAGGGAAGCTCTTCAAGCCAGAGTAAGTGGTTCTCAACTTATTTACCACCGGGGGCCGGAGGTGTGGCTCTCTGTGTGTTATGTGAGCCACATGCACACACTAGATATACTACCTGAGGGTGTCACATGGGCCACCACAGCTGTGTGCTGATTGGGCGGGCTGCAGGCTGAGAACCACTGAGAGAAAATCACTGACCATTTGAGTGCCGTTCATCCCCGAGGCTCCGCCTGTGGTGCTACGGAAACACAACAATCAATCCAGTCAGGAATCCTACAGGCAGCTCCGGGGAATCATCCCTTCTTCCTGCAATTCCCCAAGTCTGACGGACATCTCCCTCAATCCCGAGCAAAAATTACCCACAAGGCAATTGGACCTAAGATCAGTGTGCAAGAGAAGGACTTGAAAAAAAAGGAACAAAAGCTTCCAAATTCTTGAATCAAAACCCGGTCTTTTTCTAAAAGATCTTCTGGGACTGGTTGATCCCCTTGAGACTGTCACCTGATAAGCTGGTCATACCCCTGAGCCTGCCTTCCTGTCTTCTGGGGCACCCCCTGTCCTGTCATGCTGAGCCAGCACCCCGGGTCTCCCCAGTAAAGGCACAAAGTTAGGGGTAATAACCCGCCAACAGAGCACTAAACTCTGAAAGCCACTCAGCTCTGGGAAGGCTCAGCCACAGGGACTTGATACAGCTCCCAAGAGCACAACCCCAGGCAGCGCAAACCCTCAGATCAATCCATCTTACTCTGCATTCGAGGCTTACACAGAGAAAGCTCATAAAGTTTCCTCCCTTTATCAGTCAAAGAGCATCATGCACCCTTCCCAGAACAAATATTTACACTAGGGTTGAGACCAAAAATGATTTAATTAATTTAAAAAGTAGGATTTAAATGGTTGAAAGTGATGATCAAAATATGTTACTAAACAAATTAAAATAAAACCTGCCAGTTAAGTTTAATACTCTGTGAAACTTGTTACTTGCAATTTCTCACCTAACAGAAGTTGTCATCATCTTTTCTCACAAGCTTCCCTTTCTTCTATCTCAGATGTTTCCATTAGTCATCTTGGGGGTGTCTTTCAGTTGTCAACACCCTTTTTGTTTGGTTCATTTCTTACAGTTTTTTCAAAAGTGGGAATCATTTGTGTTCAACTGCAATCCTTTCCCACTTTCCAATGGAAAAGTACCACATTCAAAATGGGTTCCAACATCAGGTGAGTTGGCCTCAGCTTATCAGGACCAACCATAGTCCAGGCGTACAGGAAAAACAAGATTATTCACAGATCCTTGCCTTGAGCACTGGGCTATTCCCGTTCCTTAAGTCCCACTAATGGCTTTCATTAGGGAAGCAAGTTTAATAAACAGGGTTACACTCCATATTTCTAACGTCACATACAAGAATGAAACATGCACACTAAGGGCATGTGTACATGGCAGGGCAAAAGTTGAAATAAGCTTTGCAACTTTAGTCGAAATAGCTTAATTCGGCTTTAGGCGCTGTCTACACAGCAGGAAGTCAAAGGAAAAGTGTTCTTCCTCTGACTTCCCTTACTCCTCATGAAATGAGGGTTACAAGATTCAGAGTAAGAAGTCCTCCAGCTCGACATTATTTTGAAATAACAGCTTGCTGTGTAGAAGCACTCTTTGTTATTTTGGAATAACGTTAGTTATTTTGAAATATATAGTAGCCCAGTGTCTGCGAGTCTGTAACGCTGAAATGCTGGCTGTTCCCTCTGGGTGGCACTGTTGCTTGAAATGCTGGTTGTTCCTTCTGGGCGGTGCTGTTGCCTGAAATGCTGGCTGTTCCCTCTGGGCCCCACACTCTCCGTGCAGCATGGAGGGCGCGGAGCCCAAACGGTCGCTTGCGCCACTTGCTCTCATGCGGCGGCCTGGCTGAAACGAGGAGTAACGGTAGTTTAGAATAGGAAGCCTAGTCCAAACTACCTAGTCCGTGTAGCCGCACGGCACGGAGTCCGCACTAGCGGCGCCCGGCGAGATGCAAATGAAGCCCGGGAAATTCAAATCCTGGGCTTCATTTGCAACTCCGGTTGCCTACATTACCACCCTAGTTCAAACTAGCGTGGTAGTGTAGACATACGCAGAGAGAGGTAGGGAGGCAGTAGGGAGAGAGAGAGAGAGACGGAGCGAGAGACCGACGTAGAGGAGAGACCTGAAAATCCCGTCTTAGGACGGGCTAATTGGCTAGTTTTGAAATAATGCTGCTTTGCAGATATGCCCTAACAGAATATACACATTTAGTGGATTATAGACTTTTCAAAGAGAGGTTACATGCCACATTTTTGCATAAAGCATATTCCAGTTGTGCATATTTATATTAAAAATATAGTTCCATAAAAATATAGGGGTGGGTGCAGCACCACACTGTCTTCACTTTGCAGGTTTAAAAATGTTTCACTTTTTTTTTTTAAGATGAAATTTTCACTGGAAACTTCTGCGGACCTTTAATATTTTCAGGTTTTTTTCCCATTTTTCAGGGCACGTGTATTGAATTTTCCTTCCCTTTTCCATCCCTCCCTCCTGATTTGTTTCCTTTTGCAATTGTGAAAAAGAAAAGGGGAATAAAAAGTGGAGGGGAGGATAAATAACTAAATATTTCGTTTAAAAAAAAAACTCCTCTCAAAAATACATTTTGGGGTGGAAATATCTGAAAAGGCCATTCCCCCCCAAATCAAAATCTTGAACAGTTCTGTTTTGACATGTCAGAAGCGGCCTGTCATTGTGCCGTACATCTGGGCTACGTCTAGACTGGCATGATTTTCCGGAAATGCTTTTAACGGAAAAGTTTTCTGTTAAAAGCATTTTCGGAAAAGTGCGTCTAGATTGGCCATTTTTGCGACTGGGGCTTTTTTACGAAAACAAATCTCTGCTGTCTACACTGGCCCTTTTGCGCAAAAGTTTTTCAGAAAAAGACTTTTGCCCGAACGGGAGCAGCATCGTATTTCCACAAAAACACCGACAATCTTACATGAGATCGTCAGTGCTTTTGCGGAAATTGTGTAGACAGCTGGCACGTTTTTCCGGAAAAGCAGCTGCTTTTCCGAAAAAAGTGGCCAGTCTAGACACCGCCCTGTTCACCATGGAGGGAAGCATTGCCAAGTGTCCTTAAACGAGGGTGTTTTGTCTAAAAGACACACTCTCTCTCAGACAACTGCGACAGCCTCAACCCTCGCTCTTCTGATGGTCTCTGGCCTGCTTTACAGATGTTAGATAAGACGCGCCAGTGACCTTTACATCTGTGAAACTATTAATGACTTTTCACCTTCTACTCCCACAGAGCAGCGCTGCTCATGACACGACTCGTGCAAGCTCCACTGGAGATAGCAAGGACAATTTTCAGGATGGCTGGTACGGTGCTAGTGACATGGACTAGCGCTCTTGTCTCAGAAGGAAGGCGGGCTCAGACTTGAATGACCAGCCCAAGACAACGTCCCGCTGCTATTTTTCAGGGTGCTAATGAAGTCCAAGTTCTGTCTAGCTGTACAAACGCTGAAACAACTGCCCTGAGGTCAAGACAATAAAACCACCATACCATTGCACCATGGCAAAGAAGTTTCCAAACACGGAAAATTGCTGTTTGTTTTCCCATCGGAAAGACTGATGGAAAATAATTTTTGTCACCGCTGCTATCAAATTTTTCGGTGGAAATTTTCCACTGCGTGTACAACCTCCCCATGCAACATTTTTTGCCTCCCCCTTCAGAAATGCCCCCATAATTGCACCCTTTTTTGGAGGGAAGGGTGTTTCATGGGGAGACAACTCTTCCAAACTTTTAGAGGAAGGCAAGCTGCTTGCTGCAAAAAGAAATACAGTGCAGTGAGAACATTTTGGAGGCAAGCTGTCCACCCACCCTCTTTTCGAGCTCATTTCCGTCTCTCGAGCTAGAGGAGCAGCACAAACTTTTGACAGCTGGCTGTTGTGGGCAGGGCCCATCAAAGCATCATTTATTCTCCTAGCACAGACAAAAGCAGAGGTGCAGGTTCGAGACATAAGGCCAGCTACACCAGCGCTGCCTGGCTCTGGATTGGAATTTGCTGCCTCACTGAATAGAATCGGAGTTTTCAGGTGCCCGAACCCCCTTGGCAAGTTGGAAAAGAGCAGCTAGGGAAGAAGGGACAATTTATTCAGCCCATGCAGCAGGAAGCAGGTCGCAGAGTTCAACAGAGACACTGTTTTCTGGAAGAAGGGGTGTTGGTCAGCTTGGATCCAACACAGCTAAGACGGAGCCTTCTGGCTGGCCATGGCTGACAGCGCGGTTTATTGCTATTTAAACCACCCCACAAGCTCTGCACCCAGCAGCATTTCGGCTCCGGCACAGCAGGACTGTGAGTGCTATTTATTTTGGGGCCTGTTTTTTTCAGGGGTGTGGCTCTTGAGAGGCTGGATTCCATTTTTGCTATGGGAACGCTTAATAAATATCAGGTCTAGCTATGTGCCAAGGATCTGATCCCGGTCTGGTGGAAGGGGCAGAGTTCCACTGGCTTTGGTGGATTTACACCAAAGTCATGGAGATCAGAATTTGTTCCTAACTCCACTGACTTCGTGGGGTGGCTTTGGATTTACTCCTGGTCACTGCGATAAGGATCCAGGTCTGACTCCATTTTTTGCACTAGGGTCACTCCGGATTTGGAATGGGGTCACTGGTGTTCCCAATCCAGACCTAACACAATTCATTGACGTGGAGTCACTCTGGATATGGGACAAGTTCACTGAGACCAGAATCCTGACCCTATTCACGGCAGTGGAGTCACTCCAGATTTGGGACAAGGCCCCTGAAACCAGAATCCTGACCCTATTCATTGCAGTGGAGTCACTCCCAATTTGGAACAGTGTAACTGGATCTCAATCCAGTCCTGACACAATTCACTGAAGTGGAGTCACTCTGGATATGGGATAAGTTCACTGAGACCAGAATCCTGACCCTAATCATGGCAGTGGAGTCACTCCAGATTTGGAATGGGGTAACTGGGATCTCAATCCAGTCCTGACATAATTCATGGCTCTGGAGTCACTCTGGATGTGGAATGGGGTAACTGGGATTTCAATCCAGCCCTGACAGAATTCCTTGTAGTAGGGTCACTCCAGATGTGGACAGGGGTAACTGGGATCCCAATCCAGTCTGGAGACAATTCACTAAAGTGGGGTCACTCCAGATTCGGAACAAGGTCACTGAGACCAAAATCCCAACCCTATTCACTGCAGTGGAGTCACTCCGGATTTAGAGGCGAGTCACTGAGATCCGAATCCGGCCCCGGACTCAATGAAAGAAAATCATCTGAAGACAATCAAATGTCTCTTAATCAGCTTCATCCAACCCAGCACCTAAATCTCTAAAATGCATTGATCCTAAGTGCGTATTTATTTCACAGCATCCCTACAGAGCAGACTCATATTGCATGACGGTCTTGATTGGACATGTCCAGTCCTGGAGTCCTTTTCAGGGTGACCTTAACCCTCAGTTTTTGGAGGGGAGGAAGGTTTGCAATGCTTGCGGGTAGGATAATTACAACATCCCTGAGGTGCTTTTTATCATTAAATTAGGGATAAAATATACACTCAACCTTCACACAGGTTTACACTCCTTCATGGGAGTGCCCCATAGATCGGTCATGGGGCCGGTTTTGTTCCACATCTTTATTAATGACCTGGATGAGGGGATGGCTTGCACCCTCAGCAAGTTTGCAGATGACAATAAGCTAGGGGAAGAGGTTGGAGGGTAGGGATACGGTCCAGAGTGACCTAGACAAATTGGAGGATTGGGAAAAGAAATCTGAGGAGGTTAACAAGGACAAGTGCAGAGTCCTGCACTTGGGACGGAAGAATCCCAAGTATTGTTACAGGCTGGGGACCGACTGGATAAGTAGCAGTTTGGCAGAAAAGGACGTGGGGATTCCAGTGGATGAGAAGCTGGAGATGAGTCAACAGTGTGCCCTTGTAGCCAAGAAGGCTAATGGCATATTGGGGTGCATTAGGAGGAGCATATCAAGCAGATCTAGAGAAGTGATTATTCCCCTTTATTCAGCACTGGGGTGGCCACATCTGGAGTATTGCGTCCAGTTCTGGGCCCCCACTATAGAAAGGATGTGGACGCATTGGAGAGGCTCCAGCGGAGGGCGACCAAAATGAATAGAGGGCTGGAGTACATGACCTATGAGGAGAGACTGAGGGATTTGGGCTTGTTTAGTCTACAAAAGAGAAGAGTGAGGGGGGATTTGATAGCAGCCTTCAACTATCTGAAGGGAGGTTCCAAAGAGGATGGAGAGAGGCTGTTCTCAGTAGTGATGGATGGCAGAACAAGGAGCAATGGGCTCAAGTTACAGCGGGAAAGGCCTAGGTTGGATATTAGGAAAAACTATTTCACGAGAAGGGTGGGGAAGCCCTGGGATGGGTTCCTTAGAGACATGGTGGAATCTCCATCCCTGGAGGTTTTTAAGTCTTGGGTTAACGGAGCCCTGGCTTGGATGATTGAGTTGGGGTTGGTCCTGCTTGGGACAGGGGGCTGGACTCGGTACCTCTTGTGATCTTTTCCAGCACTGGGAGTCTATGATCTGGGAATCACTTTGCAAGCCCCGAAAATCAGCAGGTGCCAATCAGCACTGAGGACTAGGGTGGCCAGACAGCTTATTGGTACCAGCTGGGGGTCTGAGTTTGGGTTCCTTTCGCCCCTCGGAGAAGGTCAGCGTAATGCTCCTGGGCTGGGCCTGTAAACGAGACCTGCTATGCTCTAAGTGCCGGGTCGACGCCCCGCATAAATCTTTGTAACTCCACTGGCTTCTACAGGGCTTTGCTGATTCGTAAGTGCTGAGAACCCAACTGTTATGCTTTGATTTACGGATTGATTTTAAAACGCTCAGCACCACAACCGGGTCACATCTGTAGGAGCCCCTGGAAAGTGACTAGATTTCAGGAAGACTCTTCACATTCTTCTCAAAAACATCACCGCTAAGCGCTTGAGTGGGCACCATGGGGAGATTCCAATGCCACTCCGCTGATTAGCAGAGCCCCCACAGCCGGCAGTATGTGTTTATCTGGGTGGTGCACATCCACACATGCCTTGGTGCGTGCAACAAAATTTATTCCGCGCGCAGAAGGGGGAAAAATAAGAGGGAACATTGCACTTGAGTTGCTGTTTAGTCTGGGAACATCTAGAAATCTGTGTCTGGAGAAACTGAGCCCTGGGCGTGGGTGCTGAGGCCTTGCAAATCTGGCCCTGAGTGTTAAGGGAAATGTGCCTCCAGTAAATACAGTTTTGCTTTGCATGGCAAATGTGTTCACATGGGCTGTAGGTGCAGCAGTAACATGTCTCAGTTCGGCACCGTATATTCTCCAGCTCAGCTCTGCCCTGCCGCCACATAGCTTGACTGGAGTGCGCCCCAGGTTTTGTAAGACCAAGGCAGAGCAGCAAGGAGGCCCGTGGAGATGGATACCTGGCCAGAACTGGGAAGAAATGGGTACGAATCCATTCTTTATCGCACATTCCCAATGGCGCCATGAGCTTGGCATGTCCAACGGTGCCTGGATAGGTTGGCTTCCTTGGGACTTAGGGGCTTTAAATAATCAGACCGGGCCTGGTTTTAGGTGCCTAAATACCTTAGGAAAGCTGGCGTTCCATCGTGTCGTGCCTCAGTTTCCCTTCTGTACGTTTCTAGTACCGCTGTTTGTTACCGCTACAACTGCTGCTGGACTCCTGTGCCCCGTCTTGGTGCCCGGAGTTCGGGAAGGATATTACTAGATGGAGAGAGGGATCAGGGCAGAGGTATGAGAATGATTAAAGGATCGGAAAACCTGCCTTCCCGTGAGAGACTCCAGGGCTACATCTAGACCGGCATGATATTCCGCAAATGTTTGTCTCTAGGGGTATGTCTACACTAGCCCCCTAGATCAATCTAGGGAGGCTAATGAGGGCGAGCGAAATTGCAAATGAAGTGCGGGATTTAAATATCCCACGCATGATTTGCATGTTCCCGGCCGGTCGCCATTTTAGAAATTCACTAGCCTGAAGTAACTAGCCTGTGTCTACATGTGGCAGTGAAACGGGATTCCGATGTAAAGCCCTAAATCAAATTAGCTGTTATTCCTCCTGCAATGAGGTTTACCAGCTAATTTAAATTAGGGGCTTTACATCGGAATCCCGTTTCACTGCCACATGTAGACACAGGCTAGTTACTGCAGGCTAGTGAATTTCTAAAATGGCGACCGGCCGGGAAAATGCAAATCAAGCCCGGGATATTTAAATCCCGGACTTGATTGCAATTTTGATCGCCCTCATTAGCCTCCCTAGATCGAGCTAGGGGGCTAGTGTAGACGTACCCTTAGATGCTACAGGACCACTCCTTGTTTTTTAAGCTTTTCCTCTAAGCGACAGACTAACCCGGCTCCCCCCGAGCCTGCTGTCAAGGCGTGTCACTGATTGGTGTTTCTGTGGCAAGCTGTCACCCAGCCACCACTGGCCAAGCGCAGGGGCAGGAAATCTTAGCTGACGTTCTCCACCCAGTCGATTGCAGGGACTGTGACACGGTGATGGCAACCGTCCCACCCTGCCTCACAGTAGCTATCTGCTCAGCACAGATGGTTCACGTCGGTTTCTTGTATCTCGGCATGATCATTCATATGTTCGCTTACGCCCGCCGCCCATGCTTCCGGCGGTGGGTTTCCTGAACTGCTGAGAATAGAGGAGCTGGGTCTCCCCTACTTCCTACTCCGAGGCAGGTGCAAGCACCAGGCTCAGCTCAGTACAGTAAAACAAAGGGGCTTGTTTCCACGGGCAGATGAGAGCAGCAGGCGGGCCGGGCTGGAGCGGTTAAGGGCAGAGCCGTCCCGTGCTAGTGTCAAACGGGGGTGGGTACCTCTCCCCCCTGCTTGCAAACCAGCTCAGAATTCCCCCCTTGTGTTAATTCTTGCAGCCTGGCCACCGTGCCCGCGGTGGCATCGGACCGCGCTGGGGCTCGGCTGGGCCGGGAATCTCATCCTGCTGGGAGCTGTGATGGCCCTGGCTGTCCTGGGTAAGTGGCCCCCGGAGGGTGGGGGGGGTTTTGCGCTGCACACTGGGAACTCCGCACACGTCACTGGGGCTGGACATGAGCGTTGCTGGTCGGCCGCTGCAGGCCCGGCTGGTGCCGCTCAGACTAAGTGACCGGAACGGCCTCGAAATCTGTGATGCGGGGACAGCTCTGGCCAGACGCTTCCTGGCGTAGTTTCACTGATTTAACCCTGGCTGGGGATCTGGCTGCTTGGATGCCACTGGGTGAGGGTGGGTTGACACCAGCTGACCCATAGATTCCGATGGAGCCACAGGGGTACTCTGGACCTCAAGCCACCCATAGAGAAAAAAATAAAGGGGGTGGTTAGGATCTGCCAGCCACACTGGCTCACTGGGCCGCAGGGCTGGCTGCCAATCAGCTGTTTGGAGGGCAGTGGGAGGGGGATGGGGCAGGGAACAGTGGGGCGGAAAGGGCAGGAGATGGGAAAGGGAGGCTTCAGGAGGGAGGTCAGAATGGGAGGATGAAAAGGTATCGTGAAAGCCAGGCCTTGTCAGAGGAGGGGGAGTGTGGGCGGAGCCTTAGCAAAAGAGGTGGAGCTTCAGCAGGGGACTGGCAAAAGGGGCGGAGCTTTGGCAGGACCTTGGGGAAAGAGGCGGAGCTTCCGCAGGGCTTTGGCAAAAGAGGCGGAGCTTCCGCAGGGCTGGAAAAAGGGAGGGAGCTTTGGCAGGGCCTTGGCAAAAGAGGCGGAGCTTCGGCAGGGCCTTGGCAAAAGAGCTGGTATGTAGGCGGGGCCTTGGCAGAAGAGGCGGAGCGAGGGCGGGGCCTCAGGGCACGGCACAGGTGGAGCATCCTCTGGGAAAAACAAAAGCGCCTGTGGACGGAGCGAGGGCTGATGGACGCCAGCTGGAATCTGGCTGGCCCTGTCTTCTCAACCTTTCACTTCTCTTTACCTTGAAGTTTCCCAGTACCCATCTCAGAACCCACAGACGCCAGGGGTCCCGCAGAGCACAGAAAGGAGCCATTCGCGTGAGATCAGTCAAAGCACAACCACGTTCAATGGGAGCTTGGAGGCTTTCCGATCCAGCTTGAAACAAAACTTGTGTGATACAGAAAACAGCTCAGCAGGTAACCCCCGTGCTTCCTGTATGCAACTCGTCACTCGTCCTCCGTTGAGATCAGGGCCCCGTTGAGCAAGAGACAGTCCCTGCCCCAGCTGAGATCAGGGCCCCGTTGTGCCGGGCGCTGCACAGACACAGCGAGAGACAGACCCTACCCCAGCTGAGATCAGGGCCCCGTTGTGCCGGGCGCTGCCCAGACATGGTGAGAGACAGTCCCTACCCCTGCTAGTATCAGAGCCCCATGGTGCCATGCGCTGGGGTCAGCAGTGGCTAGAAGATGAAAGTGAGCCTCTTGAGTCTCTGATAACCTAACACAGCACTCCTGAGGCATTGGGGCAACAAGGTTTCTAAGGGGAGAGTCCCCTACTGAGCTCTCGCTCTGCTAATCTGCACCTCAGCATCCCCAGGCATCACTTGGGAGCATTGGTGTCCACACGGACACAGCATCCTGAGATGTTACGATCTTGCCTCGCCCCCCATAGCTCCGCCAATGCGCTGCCCTTTGTCTCCCTAACTCACCGAGTGCGGCAGCTCTGTGCGTCTCTGCTGGGGAAGCAGGTCAGAATGACCCGTGATTAATAATTAATCCATTTCCCCATGCAGGGGGTGCCGGGTGCAAACTCTGCCCCAGGCACTGGGTGCCGCACAGGGACAAGTGCTACTGGCTGTCTGATGGGAGTAAGTACTGGTCCAGGGGACGGGATGACTGCTCACGGAAGAGATCTCGCCTGTTAGTGATCCAGGACTGGAAGGAGATGGTAAAAAACATATCAAAGTTCACCCTCCCATATTAGTGTCCTTTTTAATTAAAGCAGCTTAAAAAAAAACCCTTCTTTTTATTTTTCCACCAACAAATAATTGACAGCCACATTTTCATTCACTATTTTTCGCAGATTTTTTTTTTTCAGAATTTTGAAAGATATTCTCTAGTTTTAATTTTTTTAAAAAATGTCAATTACAAAAAGATATTCTCTAGTTTTAATTTTTTTTAAAAATGTCAATTACAATAGGAAAAACTATTTCCCTAGGCGGGTGGTGAAGCACTGGGATGGTTCCCCTAGGGAGGTGGTGAAATCTCCATCCCTAGAGGTTTTTAAGTCTCGGCTTGACAAAGCCCTGGCTGGGTTGATTTAATTGGGATTGGTCCTGCCTAGAGCAGGGGGCTGGACTTGATGACCTTCTGAGGTCTCTTCCAGCTCTATGATTCTATGATTCAATGGCCAGTTGTGCAAAATCATGTCTTTTATGTGGGGTTTTTTTTTTATCAATTTGTATTTTCAGCATTGTGCGAAATCTTGTGGCAGAGTCAGACGCTGTCAGACCCTCAGTACAGAATCCTGCCCTCTATGGAAAGAGATGCAGTCTGTAGATAGCCCCTGAGACATTTGTCCAGAGTTGAAATGCTACTTTTTGTTTATTGGAGCTGTGTTTTTTTAAAAAAGCTCAGCACAAAAATATTCAAAAGTTCACTAAAAAAATGGAGATTGTTGACTGAAGTTTACTGAAATTTGTAAATGAAATTCATCAAAATCTGGGCAGAGGAGCACAGGACCAATTCAGTTATTAATTAATAGTATAATTGTGTATTATCTTTACTTTTCATTGGTGTTTCAGCAGGTCCTGATTTGTCACTGCCTTGTTCTGTTAGCTCTGACATCTTGTCAATTTCACAGGCATTCATACAGAATATTAGAAGAGATCAAAATCCGGTGTGGATTGGACTCAACATCACATCCCCAGGGAGTAACTGGACCTGGGTGGACGGTTCCCTGTTAAATCAAACACTGTGAGTGTTGCTAGATTAGTATTTTAGCTCAGTCTGCATTAAATACATAGGGTGAAATTCTGGGCCTCTTTATAGTTAATAACACATTTGTTTACCTCTATGAGGCAAGGATTTCATCCACTAAATCTTACACTATAAAGGCCTCAATTCAGCAAAAATACTTGGGTTAAACTTGAAATCTCATTCAGGTGAATGGCGATAGGCCTTTGAGAAAGGTAAGCAACTACATACATGTTTGCAGCATTGGGGTCTCTATTTGCTTGACCTCTTCGGTTCCTGGTAGGACTAGCAACAAAATGGGGAAAACTAATTTTTCCCCATCTGTTCTTGTTTTTATCATCTTTTGAGACTCCTCAATTCCGAAGCGGATCAGTGTCAAAACTGAGAAAGTTCCAGGAACCCCAAGAGTTGGTTAAAAATCTAAAAAATAAGTCACACAAAATAAATCAAATCTCCAAATGAAATTTGAAATTGACTCAACTTTCCATGTCAATTTCAAAAGCTGAACATTTGAACCTAAAGTTAGTCTCTTCTCAAGTACCTCTCTGATTAATTACTTTGTTGCCAGTTTCTATGGCTGTGTCTAAACTGCAAGGTTTTTTCGAAAAAAATAGCCTTTTTTCGAAAAAAACTTCACCTGCGTCTAGACTACAGCCGCGTTCTTTCGAAATTAAATCGAAAGAACGCGGCTTTTCTTTCGACGGCAGTACTCCTCATTTCACGAGGAAGAACGCCTTTTTTCAAAAGTGCTCTTTCTAAAAAAGGCGTTCTCGAATGCAAACAGGGCTTTTTCGAAAGAGAGCCTCCAGACTGCCTGGGTGCTCTCTTTCGAAAAAGCGGCTTGCTTTTTCGAAAGTACTGCTTGCAGTCTAGATGCTCTTTTTCGAAAGAGGCTTTTCCGAAAGTATTTTTCGAAAAAGCCTCTTTCGAAAGAGGCTTGCAGTCTAGACGTAGCCTATAAGACATACATCTGTCCACCAGGGCTGAATAGAAACACATCAACTCTTTTCACTTATTAGCTGATGTAGAATAGTAATAGAGGTAGCTGTGTTAGTCTGATCTTGCTGAAATAAAAGGAAAAACTATGTAGCACCTTAAAGACTAACAAGATGGTTTAATAGATGATGAGCTTTCCGGGGCCAGACCCACTTCTTCAGAATATGATCTGAGGAAGTGGGTCTGGCCCACGAAGACCCATTAAACCATCTTGTTAGTCTTCACAGTGCTACATATTTTTCCTTTTATTTTAGCCTATGTAGAGAAAGACTAGAGATGAGGACTGAACTCCCAGTGCTACATATTTTTTCCTTTTGTTTTAGCCTACGTAGAGAAAGACTAGAGATGAGGGCTGAACTCCCAGCGTCCTAGAAGGAAGGGGAATAGCCTCTCTTCTCCACCTCTAACCCCACTGATGCGACTGCCTCCTTCACTCTGTAGATTCACGGTATCAGGGCCTGCGGAAGAGAACAGCTGTGCTGCAATAGAGAATAATCAGATCCAGTCTGAAATCTGCAACACTGACTTTAAATGGATTTGCCAGAAGGCAGCTGTGCTCATTTAAACAGGTGGATCGACGCCCTCTGTTTGCAGATGTGGAATGCGGAACCTACTGCGTGTTGCTCTTTATTTCGACTAACAAACCTTCAGGAGGGGTCAGTCTGGATAGTGCCGAGAAAGTGAGCAACACGATGCTGACTTACACCATTTGGGGGTCTGGACCTATTGACGCCAATGGACTTAGAGCGAATTCGCACCATTATTTTATTTTAAAAAATAAATCAACCATTTTGTCACAAAATTGCTATTATATTTTTCAGACTTTAAAAAAATTGTTAATTCCTGGGACATTATTTTTTATATTATGGTAGTGCCTAGAGGCCAACTAAACACAGCCACAGTCCCTTTCCCAACTGAGATCAGGGCCCCATTGTGCCGGGCGCTGCACAGACACAGCGAGAGACAGTCCCTGTCCCGGCTGGGTGCTGCATAGACACAGCGAGAGACAGTCCTTGCCCCAGCTGAGATCAGGACCCCGTTGTGCCGGGCGCTGCACAGACACAGCGAGAGACAGTCCCCGCCCCACGTGAAATCCTCCTTTCTTCACAAGGATGCAGGGCTGGGTGGAGTGGGGGCTGGTAGCAGAGTCACCCCTGGACATAGGACTGCAGCACTTAACACAGAACATTTGTGATACCTTTTCAAGTTGTCGCAGGGAGCTGAAGTGTTATGCAGGGGCACCCCTCTCCGAGTGGCACCTCCCAGGAGGGGGTTTCTGAGGAAATTCCAAGAGAAGGAACTGCACCCACAAACCTCTTC